TTTATGACATTCCATATTTTTTTATTGTCTTTTCCAGCTTCCTCTATTTTGTGCTGATAAAATTCATTTTTTGTTTTTTTAATTAAAGCATTGAGTTTATTTCGAAATTCTTTGTAGTTTCTCTCGTTTTCGACAGTGTGGTTTTTAATTAGTTTTTTTTTCATAAGATCCCTGCGTTTAATAGATGTGATGAGACCTAAGGTAATCCACGGTTTGATTTTTTTACACTTTTTATCATTTATGATTCTTACTTTACTTGAATTTGTTATGTGATAATTTAACTTAATCTCTAAATTGTATTCGAAAACCCCAACAATGAACTATTATTTTGTCAAATGTTACAAATTGGCTTTTTTGGTTTAATTCATTTTTGATAACGAAAACTGATGTTTTTTTCCTCCAAAAACCTCACATTTGATTCCGAAATTAGTACTATTTCTTTACTTCTCCAAGTTCACACAAATAAACATAGAAATGCGTCAGATACGTCATAAAAATATGCATTACAAATGTCCTCATAATATACTAACATTAAATTAAAATTAACAATAAAAAGAAAAGGCGAAACGAATTGCTCATATATACAGATTGAAAGGCATATTAAAAACGGCATTGGATATATTAAAAGTACAGGGTGAGTCAATAAGATTCCCTCGGTCCATTGCTATCAGAAAAAACAATTTTTCAAATTGCTCAATTCTTTCCGCAGTCATATAGATAACTACTATTCTCTAAAATTATTTTCTCGCATACTGGGTGATTTAGCTAAGCGTGGCCAACCAAAGATATATTTTTTTGAATTGAATACCCATTTCATGAATACGTCATTTGATTCAATTTTCTTTAGCTATCTGAGAAATATTGGTTTTCAAATTTCCATTGCAGCACTGCCAAATTATTCCAGAGAAACCTGGGTTTGAAAACCCAGTTATCCATGACAGACATCAATCTCGGAATTTGTCAATAACGCCATGTGTTGAAGTTTCTTTCATGTGTAGACCGAATCGTTTTCATTATGAATTTTGTATTGGAAGATAGGTGCAAATGGACTATGCTTTGGGGGAAAGAGATGAAAACTGCCTGCTTGCATCTAAGATTTACAAAGAGGAGTTCCCGGAAAGAAAATAACCAAATAGAAGGGCATTTCAGGGTCTAAAAATAAGATTTGAAAGAACTGGTAATATCGAGAAGTTCAAACGTGTCTGCCCTGTAACTGTTCTGTTTCTATTTAAAATCTGTTTTTTTCGTTAACCAGCTGTCGCACCCCTACGAACGACGACTCTTATGCGGAACTTGTGCGAGCTAAGGGCTAACGAGGTCTTACCTTTCAACGTGTGATTCCTCACAAATGAAGAGAATACATTTCACATTATCGCAACTCAGTACTGGCTTGGCTTATTAACGAGAGGATTTTATTCGCTGTCTCACCCATTCATCATTCATCCAAATAATGAAAAAACTCATTTAAAAACTTTATTGAATATTTATTGTAACGGAACAGGAGAAAATANATCGATTGTGTATAATTGAATATGGTGTATTTTTAATGCATACTTTATTTCTCGTAGTGTTATGAAATGGCATCATTTGGAGTTGGAAATTGACATAAACACAATGAATGAAGGTGGTTTTGAACATAGTGAAGTTAATTGCAAAGAAACGCCCGGAAAAAATTGGCCCCAAATTCTTGCTATTGGAATAGGTGAGTAACAATCATAAATTTTTGGTTTTCGGTCAGCACTTCTAGTAGCAAATACCTGAAAATATGACAAAATCAGACTATGGAAAAAAATGAATATTCCCGTTAGAATTTTCTTTTGTCAATTAGAGACTTACCTCATTTAAAAATTTGATTTCCCATATGAATAACACAGAAACATATAAAACTTATAATGAGGAACAGGAACTTATTGCAAGTTGTAGCAATGCATAGAAAGCAATTTGTATCAGTACATATACAGGGTGTCCCTGGACTTCCTCTTTTCCTCTCGGGAATGTATAGATGGGGTCAAAATATCACCAGTACTTCATATAACTTTTTTTCCTAAAA